GGAGCAGTTTGGGTGGGGAAGAGTTGCTGGGACAGCTGAGGCAAAGCAGGTGAGCGTAGGGCAACCTCTGAGGCACGGGGTGAGAGCAGAGCAGGGCCAGAGGCACTGCAGGCACAGGAAGCCGGTGAAGGGCAGAGGTGTGAATAACTGTGGCAGGGCTCTGTGTTCCTGCCCTGCGAGGTGAGGCCAACCTCTGTGACCCTTGTGGGCGTTGGACACAAATAAAGCTCTCGTTACGAATCTCAGTTTGCTTCTGGCTCACCTGTGACACATGCTGTCCCTGTCACCCTTCCTCTGCTCGCAGCCCTCGTAAGAGCAGTGTCACCGTACAGGGAGGAAGTGTTTCAAGTTTGACAGACACCAGCGTGCGTGGTGGGGGTGGAGGTCAGCAGGTGACCCGGGATTTCGGGGAGCGGCGGGCGGGAGGAGTGCTGCACCTCACTGAAGGTTTCTGTTGTTGCAGGAGTGCCGGATTGCACATCCCATTGTTAAATGCACTTACTGCAGGACTGAATTCCAGCAGGAAAGGTAAATGCCCGCTGGACTAGGTTGATGAGTGTGTTCTTCACAGCAGATGCACCCAAGGAACCGTGGTGTTTGCACACCTTCAGTGACTGAGGCTCAACCTGTAGATTGTTGCTGGGGGAGAACTGGGTGAACCTTTGGCCTTCTTCAGCCGTCTGCTGGGTGCATCGATGTGGCTCGGCAGTGTGCTTAGATTTGCACCTTTTGAGGTTTTGTTTTCGCTCAGTTGCATCTTCCAGTGAAGGATCTAGGCACATCTTTCCCGTTCTCTGATTTTCAGTACAAAAATTGTTCCCTAACGTGTCGCCTTTAGCTGTGCTTTCTACCTTTTTGCTCTGTAGCTTATGGAGGGAGGATTGGTAAACCCAGTAGCTGCGTGCAGGCATCGTGCGAGGTGTTCTTTCCTGTGTTTGTTGGACAAATACACCTCTGTCCTGACCTGCCTTAACCTCGTCATCCTGAGCAGAGGCTGTCACCGGTGCTGAGTCACTCCTGCTGCCAATTAGCCAGTAATCAGACTCCTATATTTGTAAGGACGAAAAAACTGGTGTCATCTGGGGATACCTTAATTAAAAGATACCTCCTAGCGATCCCACTTTTTGACAAATTATCCTCAACCAGATGGGGATAGGGAATGGACTTTGATATCCAAGTCCCTAGTGAAGATGAATACAGTCTCGCCACTAGAGACGGAGCCTGGGGGAGCCTGGGATCCTAACCACAGAGGTTTAATTTTCTTTGGGGAAGTGTTAATAGAACGATCCGTCCTTCTTTTTAACAGCAAAACCAACACAATATGCAAGAAATGTGCTCAGAACGTGAAGCTCTACGGAACAGTAAGTGAGCGGGGCTGGTTCTCATCAGCCTCTTTC